CCCAACCTAGAGATATAATAATGTTTATAATAACGACGTGATTGAGTCTGTAAAAAGCGTTGCGACTTGTGCGCTATCAGACTGGCAAGCTTGGGTCAGTTGGCATGGTATACCTCATTGACATTGAGCTGGCCTTCGTCGTCTGTTTGGCGGCGAAAGGTCCCGCCGTAGAGATCGGTGCAACCGTGCAGAGGTGAGACAGGGTGTGAATACCTCAACCACGAGGAGGTACTCATAAACGAAAATCAGCTTCGCCCTGTATTTCTTGACGGTGGCAAAGGTGCTGGGTCGTGACTCCGAGAGCCATTGCAACCGCTGTCATTGGACAAGACCTCGGCTGCTTCACCAAGTATAGCGTATAGGCCTTCGGTATTTCCTAGTAGCTCTTTAGGCCACATGTACACGCTAGCGTGAAGACTTTCGATGCGATCATGCTCGTTGAGTATTCATTCTTGCACTATGTCTTAAAATAGCGAAACTAGTGGGACCAAAACTGGGTACACATCTTAGTGGATGAGGATGTAGGAGATCCGTATTATGCTGCACGTACGTAGTCCATTATCTTGCAAAGCTCAGAAGGGCTAGCGCACTGATAATGACGATGGTGATGCGAAGTCCGAGTGAGGGGAGGTCTGTGTGGCGCGTGGGGCTGTTAGCCTCGCGCTATGCAAAAGAGGGTATTTAAGATGGCAAGACAGACAAATTCAGTACTCGTATTTATTTCTTTTTGTACGCGCTCGAAAATCCTAGAAAGACCATGCAGCAAGCAGAAAGCAACGTTCTCGGCCTCTTAGTAAAATATGTCGCATATTTAAATACGCGACTTACACTGAGTTCGCAAGGCTTTCGATTGTGCGTGTGCGAACCGATGCTCTGTGCGTTATTTACGCGGGCCTGTAGATTTTACACTTCTTGTGTGCGAGGTACACGGTTCCTGTTGCGTGACACAGTAGTAGTACTTTATTGAGGTCATAAGAGTCTATCTCGCGATGAAGCTTTTCTTGAAAAATAGACCTTCATCTAATTCAAAAACCGAGTAAGCTTTAGTATCGTAGTAATACAGCTAGAAGATGCCGTCAGTTCAGCAACACAAATGCGCGGAAGCGGCAGCGCTTTTAAAACAGGCAGAGAAAGCCCTTTCAAAGCGCTCTTTTTTTCGCGGCTCATCCGACTATTTGACGGCAGCACCACTTTTAGAAAAGGCTGGCGAGCTCTTTCGCCTCGGAGGCGACTTTGAAGCCAGCAAGCAAGCCTTTACGCGTTGTGCAGACGCTCAGAAGCACAACCAGTCGCCATTTCGTGCCGCACAAGCCTGGGAGAATGTGGCCAAGACAGCTCTGCAGCAACTTAAAGACGAGCGATCTGGATCACATAACTCACAATTGCGCGCGACAGAGGCGCGCACAGCTTATGAAACAGCCAGCAGTTTCTATGCTGACATGGGCGAGTTTGGCAAGGCCGCAGACGCACTAGTCAAAGGTGCGCAAGCTTGTGAGAGTCACGGATCTAGTGCGGATGACGTACTACCACTCTATTGGCGAGCGTGCGACCTACTGGAGGCGCAAGATAAACCTCACTTTGCAGTCGAAACGTTCCGCAAGACGCTGAGTTTCCTGGTGAAATATGGCAAATATAGCGACGCCATTAAGCTGTCGGATCGCTTAAAGGCGCTTTACGAGGCCATGGATCAGCGCCATAACATACATAAGATGCATTTGAGCCAAGTGATCCTCATGCTAGCATTGGGCGACGTGCCTGCAGCTGATGCGCTGTACTCACGCTCTCTGCAAGATGACTCCTTTTTGTCTTCTGATGACTGCGCCTTAGCTGAAGATTTAGTGCGCGCTTTTAAAATGGGGAACGAAGAGCTTCTGCAAGCTACCGTACGCAAGCCTGGCTTCTTGGCCCTGGACAACCAACTTGGTCGGATATGCCGCAAATTGTCGGTGTTCGGATCTGGGCCACCGCAACAACAAAATCGACCGGTTTCATCTGGTAGGGAAAGGATGCAATTAAAGCAGCAGTCAAGTTCGTCTGCACCATCAGCACGTGTACCTCAGACCCAACGGAACCCGTTCGCGCCATCTGCAAGATCAGCAGCAGGTGCTTCACTAAATTCGGAGTATGACGTTTCGGCGTCTGAGGTCGAGGCCAATACTTCTGATGTGCGGGACAGTGACTATGAAGCGATGCTTGCCGAAGCTTTGGGTGAGGGTGACGTATCAAAAGGCAAGAGGAAAACGAATGTGAAGAAAAAGCGGCACCAGCATTCTGCAATGCCAGAGCCATCCGCTCACTCGTCGGCTTTGTCACCTACTGTCGTGCATTCTCCACTGCCTGGAGCAATGCGTGCCAGTGGAAACATGAGCTATGAGGATGACGACCTTGCATTTGCAATGCCAGACTCTGGTTTCACTGAGCTCTCAATCAATCCAGGTGACATGGCCGCTGCTAGCTACTCTGAGTCATCTGTGGCAACTACTCAGAAAGGGAAGGCACCAGCAACAAAACCTGCACCTAAAGATGCGTACGATGAGTTTGACCTCACGTAGCCAACATATACTTTATAGGACAGGGGCAAGCATGAGTCAGATACTAACTATTTCCCCTGAGAGACTGTGTGCAGTTCAATCATATTATATCAGTATCTAATGCCATGCCAATCAATATATTGCTATTCGTTAGTAAAGCTCCCGCACTAGTTGAATCTCATCTCGTCTTGTATCTGCCAGCTTTTGCTCAGTGCGAGTCCTTCCAATACTCGACGAAACCTTTACGGGCTTGATCGATTTTCTGTTAGCAACAGCAGGCGTGAGATCTGTCTTCGATTTTGCAAATTTTACAGGCGCAGAATTAGGTGGGCATCCCTCGAAACATGGTAGAGGTGGTCGCGTCATGCGTAAAGGCCTCTTCTCACGATTTCTATTTGCTGAGCCTAACAAACCCACATTGCCTACACCACTCACGACGTCAGATGTCGCCTCATTATGGCTAAGTTTGTAAGCAGCCTTAAGCATTTCATATTCCTCAGCTAGGTTGGCATATATGATCGATTTTCCAACAGAAATCGCACTAGCGTCGACATTCGATCCATCCAATGCCAAATATTGCGGAGAGTTGGGATCAACACAACGATTTGATCGAATGCTGTGCACCAGAGTATCAGCTTTAGCGCCACAAATGTCGGAAGTGGAATTAGTATCTCTATAGTTGCGTCTGTTTGCCATAATAATGCCTGCGACAACTGTAGTGGCTGGGTCAGCACACTTTGTACCATTAATGTCGTCGGTCTTCAATAAGTAGCTTGGTTTTTCTCGCTTTGGATGGTACGATTGTGGTCGTGAGAGCGGATCGTCGCTGAAAGTGGTGCCATGAACTGTATAAATGGGATTTAAAACGTTTCTAAAAACCATAATGTAAGATGGAGCTAATTTCATCGTCCAGTATAATTCACAATACTTACGTTACACGACTTGATTTAAAGTCAACGTTTGTGATGTCTCGCACGTTCAAAATATCTCGCGGAGGATTCTCGCGTACTTCTCGCTTGTGACGTGGTAACCATCCTGCGTAAGCTCCTGCAATATCGTTCTGCATTTCAATTTAGTTCTTAACTGTAAATCTTTTTGTTGTGTAGCCCTTACCAGCTTAAGAACATCCCGAGGATGCTTAATATCACGAATCTTGATGCATGTGCCTTCGATGTCGGCCACGTTATAGCTGTCACGTAAAAATTTTGGTGCGAGCTGCGAAGACATTGCCATGTTATCAAAGCAACAAGACAGCGACAACATGCTCACCACACACCAGCGGAGCTTGATTAAATGACGGAAGTTTATAGGTTGGCTCCAATGGGTTTACAACACGATCAGTACGAAAGCCGGATGGTCGTGGTGTGCTGCCTTCAATCGGAAGCTGCTTAAATCGGTCATCGCTTCCTGCGTTTCGACTCTTCGGATGTAGCTCCATGCTCGTAGATCCCTTGATGTCGCGCGGATCATAAAAATGTGGTTTGTTGACATACATGTGGTTCTTTAGCAGCGGTTTTGCGCCTCGTATATCCGTCACATCATTTGTAGCTCGTTCGAGACGACGACCAGATGGCGGTGCGCGTCCTTTATCAATAAAATGCTGTAATTGACACTGCAATTGTTGCTGGTCCATTCCCTGCGGCAACGTTGATAGGAGCGACTCTACCGCCACGATTAGTATCGACGTTTAAACACATGTGAGTAATTTTAGGCAATACTTCAACTGCCCTATTTTGAGACGAGCATAGCGCGCTACACTATTTTTTGATGGATGTTAAAAGGATGAAAAAGCGCAGTTTCGCGGTTGAAGTAAAATTTGATGTCGTCGAGGCTTCCAAGGCACCTTGCGTTCTGTAGCCCGCCAGTACATCATTGATCATAATTGTGTGCGTGCATGGCGAGATAAAGAGACAGAGCTGAATAAACGCATCGTAGATACAGGCGACACAGAGCAGTTTAAGAAACGTAGGACAGCGATTGAGACTAGAGTGGACCTGGAAGTGATTCAAAATATTGGTGAATGCAGCAAGAGACAGTGATGTCAGTTCAGGGAAAGCATCAGTCGACGTAAACTGCAAATTATATGCTGGTGGGATTTAAGGGGACGGAAGGCGTTTTTTCGGAGGTTGCGGCCAGGGTGGCGTTTGAGGTGTTGCGAGCAGCCGAGGCGCTGACGCCGAACGACTTTATGACGGTGGGTTTGTCTCACATTAACGACGTGGTGGAAGCCGTAGAAAGAAACGAGCTGGCATATGGAGTATTGCCCGTCGAGATTTGATCTCTGCCACTTTCCATGGCAATTTAGACCGACTTGTGAACTAAAATTAAAAAACGTCTGTGAGGTGTCTTGTGTGCAGATGCTGTGGCTCTGCGTGTTTCCAGGGGTAACTATGATTAAAACTAAGCAGCCATCATCACATCCGGCCGTCCTGGATCATTTAGAGAGCCACATTTGCGCCATGGAGCTTAAACTGGGTAGAATATTCGAGCGCAATGCAGCTTAGGATAGCGCCGGTGCTTGCCAACCAGTCAAGCAGGAAGCAATGCGGCATATGGCTGCAATAGCTAGCGGACAGGCTGCACTTGCGCACTGGTTGGTTGTCTTGGAACATGGAATTGGAGACGAACACCCGTTATATGATCTGCTGACGGCAGGACGCCACACCGCTGCCGGTAGGAGCAGCTACAAGATTTTGAAGTATCAGCACTCAGGTTTCTATCGCAACAAAATCGAGCATCGTTCTAGCTGTCCCGAATGAACCTCAAGCACTTTCAGAATTGTCTTGATCTTCGCACATCGCAATATAATGATTGCAAAGATTGAGATTCATCCTGCAGCCACCGCTGGTAACCTATTTACAGCTCAGACGATGCACTGATTAGTTGTCGTTTGAGCTTATCTCACTCACATGCAGGGACTACATCTTCTATATAGATTACATCACAGTATCGTTTCCATGCGGCAGTATTTCAAATGAAAGCTCCTTACGCAGAAACTGGAAGTTGAGTTGCGATCTCTCGTTCAATTACATTCTTTGAAGTGCGGTGCAAGTACTGGGATGCGGAGACTTCAGATCAGGACACCCGCTATTAGATGAATGGGATGCACCAAATGTGAGGAACCTTGGCACCTTGAAAGTCCCGTGCTTGACGATAGAGAAATCTGAGCGAGCATGTATAGTTTTGTTGAAGTCGTGGCAGTGCAAACACACTCTCATTGACGCGAAATAAAGGTAGCATGTTCTTGTACATGTTCTTAAATTTAACATCACTCAATTACAAATTACTTCTCAAAAAGTTAGCGTCGTATGTTAGCGAGAACAACCATGCAGCTTACACTCGATTGTAATAATGAAAAGACGATAGGTGCGTTTCGTTTAAAGGTGTTCAAAATTCGTCTTTTCCCGCTAGCAAAGAAAGTTTTACTCGGGCTTATACACGCTGGAAAGGCAGACTTGAAGCAAGAGGAATGAACACCCCGGACACCGTTGGTGCAATCAATCGCATCACAACGCCGTTCCATGACCGAATTCTTTCTGTGTCAGGGCAGGGAACAGCGTCAACACCGACATTCAACTTTGAAAGTTCTTCTGTGAATATGGCTTCAGATGACGAAGATGAAGACAATAGTCAACAAGGTCCGACATTTGACGTGTGTTCTCGTACCATAATGGCCGCTGCGGACCGGATGATGGCGCTTAGCCGACAGCCCCACAGTCTGACCGTAGCCATCGCTTACGATGAGTGTCTGGACATTGTCACTGCGGCGACGAACCATTTGGAGCATATAGGAAAGCGAAGTCTCGTGGGTGATAACATCGTCGAAGTTTATCAGGCCATGCGCAGCATCCATGAGCTATTGCGACCAAGTCCGCCTGTGCGTCGCGCTTTGCAGTTCTGAATTAGGACATGCATATTATTAATAACATTTCAGTTCTTTTGCGATTATAGCTGTCTGCAGCTAAATTCTTTTTCGTTTTTAGCAGCCGAGTTGATACTAAAACACATTTGCACGCTCTAAAGCCAGCGGTGCTGCTGTTGTTGTGTGGCTCTATTGGTATCAAACACATCATTGTAAATTTGGTGATTATTCGGATCTTGGTTCTTCGACCCCGCACCTTGCAACGACAAATGTTGATCGTCCTCTTTCCTTCCGAGCTCATTTCCTGCGACATCAGCGATGTCACCACTGACATTACTCAGGTGTGTACCATGTTGGCAAGCAAAACATCATTATGGTTGCACTCAGCAAACAGAGAAATCGATTGCAAATTTTCTGCTTCCTTCCGACTTGATGGAAAGCAGTCAAGATATGGCTCACGTCGTACACATTCGAAAGTACTTGAAGATATCACCTACTAATATCACGAATTAAAAATTTGTACTTCTCTGAAAATGTTCATTTTATTTTGCGACAATCCCACATGGTTACGTGAATTCAGATCGCAATATCCTGCATCAAGGCCATCGAAGTGTAGAGGAGCTTGAGGGCACAACAGTGCGGCGATTTGTGTCAGATACCATCAGCTGTTAGGAGCGCATGATGTATGCGGTCGCCTGAGAAACATGCCAGAAGAGACATGTGAGGCTGTTTTGAACATAGAAAGAGTGTGTGCATTACGATCGCAACAGCCGTAACGCCCACACTTTGAAGTACAGCATATTATATGTAAGTTCTGATTCATAGATAGCTCAAGTATGAAGTTGCCTTTTGAATAAGACGTCAAGTATATTGCAAAATCTTGCTACATTTTCTACAGAACACTAGTATTTCTGACGTCACTGGGTTTCAAGCAGCTGGAGCTGACATATTCATAACACAGAGTAACGCTTCTGCTGATAAGGCCAAGAGAACGCAACTCGAGCTCAAGAAATCTCTGTACGTGTGTAACCTAAGGTCAAAGAGGTAAGGTCCATTCGGCTTGCTCAGGTGACTTTCGCTCCATTTGGATTTAAGATATTGATTCGAACATCCAGAGCAACAGCCAATGGATGCTTGATATGGACAAAACAATGGAGGAAGTCAAAGTCAGACATAGAAAAGGACGTTGCCAAAACGACCAAAAGCTTGATGGCGACGACCTAAAGTTGGCACCTGAGCAACAAATAAGTATTTAAACGATACCTTGAACGGGAAATACAAAAAAGTATGAGCTTTTGTTCAATTTATCGATAATCATACATAATCTACCAAAAAAGACTCTTGGTAAAGTTCGGCCAGCTGCTGCTTCTGGTATTGGCGAGGCTTCAGACTCTGTGAGGGCGACAGTTGTAAAACTACAGGCCGCCATCAGCATAGTCTTAAACCTAAATACACAAATAATATGAATCACCTACGACGGCCGCGACCAGAAAGGAGAATAGAAAATGGGGTGAATAGACGCAAATTGGGGCAGCGGTATCAATGTTCAAGGCTTTAGACGATGGTGGCGGACGGCGGTATGACAGTAATCTCGATGATAATTTTGGCGAGCGGTTGCTTTAAGCTAATAAATGATATGATCGTGGTAGCTTTAAAGAATTGAAATGCCCCACCCTCTTCCTGGCAGTACATGCAGCACGCTTGTTTATCTGGATGTTGCGTACATTTTCTACACATGTATTCGCTCCTTCTTTGTAAGGATTACAAGCGCTGTTACCACCGTACCTACGCGCAAGATACCTAATCAATTAATTTTATTTTGATTGCCGAATGGTAACATTATTGCAATCTGAAAGTTGGTTATTCTAACATGGTTTTTATAATATTAATTGCCGGGCTCACTTGCTACCTTCTTCGAATAATAATCAGCCAGAACCTGGGTTGTGGAGACGGACATCGTGTGAGCACTTTCAAACCGCTGTATCACGATGCCTGATTATCTGGTGGACCTTGCAATTTTTAGCTCCAGCTGACTCAAGACTTCTTGAAGTACGAGAACAACAGTTTATGAACAAAGCTCGCCGCCCAGAATATTTATTATAACTAGGCCGGCTTGAATGTGCGTCTCATGATCGGTGGCATCATAACTGGTTCAGGGCACCCAAACAGGCTCTATCACCCCATGTAAATCTGGAATCAGGTACAACATCCTTCAAGCTACGACATTAGCACAATTTCCACACTCTGCACTGACCAATATCCACGATAAGCATGCCATTTTTCACTCGCGAAGACATTAAAATCGCCTTTAATCTCTTCTGTTGCGTCTGCGGTGTTGGAACGTTAGGTCTGCCGGGCAATTTTGCTCGTGCCGGTCCTGTGTTCGCAAGCATTGCCATGTCCTTTATGATATTTGCCAACATCTATGCGTCCATCGCGATGTCCAAGGTGATGTTACTCGCGCCTTCGACGGTCATAACGTTTGGGGATCTCGGCGCATGGTCCATGGGCAAAACTGGTCGCTGGCTATGCACAAGCTCTCAGATCGTCTCGTGCATTCTCATTCCATGCGTTTTCCTAGTCCTTGGTGGTGGCCTGTTAGATGGTCTGTTCCCCGGCGCATTCAGCCCAACGGTCTGGATCATCTTGATGGCTACCATGGTGCTACCTCTTTGTCTCGTTCCGACGTTAAAAGAAGGTTCCGGTTCCGCACTCGCCGGCTGTGTTGGAACGCTGGTTGCTGACACAATCAGTGTTGCAGTCATCGTGTATGGCATGCGTGGCCATCCGAGTATTCCAGACACGGAAGTCAGCTTCTCACAAGTTGCAAACACCTTTGGCAATCTTGCACTCAGTTTCGGTGCCGGAGTTATCATTCCCGATTTACAGCGTCAGCACAGCGAGCCGCAGCGCATGCCTCGAGTCATCACCGTTACGATGGGAATTATCTCGATCATGATGATCTTGCTCGCTGTCGTGCCTTACACTTCAGCCGGCTGCCAGATATCGGGTAACATCCTCTACACTATCTACCCGGACCCAAGCACTCGTCTTACGTTGTTAGGTTTCAAGCCCAATTGGGGAGCTGTTGTGCTCACGTACCTGGCCATGCAGCTTCACATCACAACGGCCTTTGCCGTCCTTCTCAATCCAGCCTTTTACATGGCCGAGTTTGTGGTCCTGGGCATGCATAAGCACGATAAACCGAGTGACGTTGAAAATGGAATGCAATATCTCGAGTCTGCGAATCCTACTGAAGATTTTGTCAAGCAGACGGACTCATCGACTACAAAAATGAAATGCAACTGCAACTGTCGTGAAGAGGAGGACCAAGAGGCTGCCGAGTATCGCGGTGCTAATGCAATAAGATACGTGGTGCTTCGTATCTGCATTACTTTGATTCTCGTAATAGTTTCAATTCTGTTTCAAGATCACTTTTCGGATTTCGCTAATTTTGTCGGATCGTCTTCATTGACAATGAGCTGCATACTGTTGCCAGTAGCTTTTTATCTTATCAAAGCGTGGAACGATATCTTTATAGGGGAGAAGTTTGCTGCTTTAGTCGTTCTCGTAGTGTGCTTTGTCTTCGGATGCTACTCGACGTACACGGCTGGCAAAAATCTTTTTTTCCCCCCCGACTCGGATGCCTTGTTCCCCTACTGTGAACCAGAATATCAAAACACAGTGTTCTACAATTACACTGCTGTGCATAATGTTTGAAAAATATCTAAGCTCCACCGTTTTCTGAATTTATAAGGACATATCGAGGGTTTTTTATTTCATGCTGAACAATATTGAGTAAAACGAATAACATTTAATTGATTTTATAGTGATCTCTGTAACCAAACGTTCAATTTGAAAATCAAGCTTTTGGTTATTCACACACAGCAACAGATTGCTTCGCTAACAACAACTTTACTTTGATCGCGTAACATCTCTAGCGGTTTAACGTAGATAGGCAGGAGGTAACTTAAATGCCCTATCAGATTTTGTCCCTGACAGTATTACAACAATAAATTTAAATTAAATATTAATTTATAACGATAGAGAAGAGAAGAAAAGCAAGCTGCGTCGGGCAAAAATTTCAGAATATCTATTAGAACAAAATGGCTTGGCCGATCCGTGATGTACAGCGGCCGCCACATATTCAGGAGGCTCCAACCATCTATCGATCATATCTAGGGGCGTTCTCTATGTTGTAGATAAATAATATTGTTTTGCAAAACTAATGTTTACTGTTCCCCTAAACCTAGAAATATGTCAAAAACAAATTCTGCAGGGTGTTTGTGCACTTTGCACAGAGAAAGCTTCGACTCTTTAAGTTCGTGTTGAACAGACGCCGGACTCGTGCGGCTCTACTAGGAGCGAAACTGAGAGCCTCTATAAGTACCAGCTCTTCTATTCCATGAGTCTTGCTATCTCAGATAGTGTGATTATATTTATTTTCTGACGTACGACTAGCTACCTACCAGCACCACGAGACGGAGACTTGTGTCACTGTGCCGAAAGTCCCTGTGGACCTCGATGTCAAATTTCTCACTTTCATTTCGATTCACTCCAGGCGCAACGCCGACTTCCTGAGTATTGGCGCCCTGCAACATATGGAACAATCCAAAAAGCTCTTTGATTTCTCACACGGGTGAGTCTACGACAACAGCAGAGTATAGGCCATAGCTTGAGCTTAGGTCATGACCCTCCGGCTTCCTGCGCTACTACCGAGAAGCACGGTGCGCACGACGACGCAAAGCGTCACGATTCTTCTAACCATTAGCGTTCACTACGTCTGGGCAGTCTCGTTGAAGTGGCAGCTCAAACTCCCACGAGTTCTTCGCTACTTCACAGGATATTGGGTTAAACCCCGTCGATGACGTCGACCCACAAGGCGTTCTACGTGATAGTGAACGCCACCACTCTCATCGGGAATAGTCGGCGGCGGACGATGAAGACCTGGTCGAGTGACTCGCGATACCCTTAGAGCATTGAATCACAAAGTCCATCGTCATTGGCACTTCACCGAGCATCTTGCCTAGGTCGCATACAGCCGTACAGAAGACTTCAAGATCCTTGAGCACTTTGTGCGCTGACCTTTTACGTTGAGAATTATCATGCTCTGTCGGCGTAGCCGTCGAGCAAACTAATACGTCACTTCGTACGAGGGTGGAGCGACTTGCGCAGTTGTAAACGTAAATTGTTGCTATCCGTTCTCAGAACCAGTTGCTGGTCTAACATCTGGTAGGCGAGCGCTTTTGGGCGGTGCCCAGGCACCAACAATTCCGCGTTTTCTTGCGGTGTATCCTGGTACGGCTTAAGCAAGCCCACATTTATCATTGGGTGGAGCACAACTTTCTTGGAAGTTTCAGCGTATACGCAAGGCCTCGCGTGGCCACGAACTTAAAAGGTCCAGTAAACCGTGGACGGAGCTTTGTCTTAAGGACAGTAGAGACTGTATGTGTAGGAAGGCTTTTAGCATAAAATATATACAGGTCTCCGAGCTCAAAGTTTTCCACATTTCATCTGCTTCTTCCATCTGTATGTTTTGGCTGCCAGCTCTCGCAAACGGGTCGAAAGAGACTCAGTCCGGTAGACAAGAACTCTTCGATTTCCTTACGGACAGCGAGGGGGGTTGACATCAGCTCGCCGCTCGGCCATCTCTTCCCCATCAAGCCCTGAGCCAAAGAATGGCGGCGTCAGCGGGACGCGAAGATAAACGAGCCCGTTCCCGTAGAACGGCATGTAGCCGGTAGGCTAATGCAATGCACTGTTCAGAGCAAACTCTACGAGTGGCAGCATGGCCCTCTAGCGCATCGACGTCTCAGCGCAGACGCTGCGAAGTACGTCTTAAACGATGCAATTCACGCGTTCAGTCTAATCTGTGCGAGAGGTGAGGTAACTAAGTCGCAATGAGTATTGACGCATGATCTGTGTCGATCACAAACGGCTTTGAACCAACCAGGTGCACCTGAACTTGAAAAATGCATATTTCATCGCACTTGATTCCTTGTCGTGGACTGAATACTTTCTCTCCGCAGCCTTAAGCTGGCGAGATTCGAGCACGGTCACCCGATCTCAGCCATCGGCATCTGTTTGCAGCAGTGCACAGCCGATGGCAAAGTCAAAGGCGTCACATAGTGCATGTAGGAGGCTACCTTTAACCCTGTCAAAAGCCTCCCGATGCTAGGTGTCCTCATTTTTCTAGAAAAGATTCGACGATGACTGTGCCATTTCCGCATAATTTGCGCTATGCTTGTGCTGTAGACGGCGAGGCCAAGACACTGGCGCAAGTCCTTTTGGTTCCTTGGAACCGGCCAGTCCACAATTGCCTTGACCTTAAAGGGATCCGCTCAATAGCCACGCTTTCCAATGAAGCACCATAAATAGGGAATTTCTTCCGCAACAACGATGTACTTATCCGCGTTAGCATACAGCTTATTCGTACGCATGCACTCGCGCGCCACTTCAAAATGAACGATGTGGTTTTCCTCATCTGTCCTCCCGTAGTCCGCGCA